GCTGCTCGGCAAGGATGCACCTCCCGGCCCTTGGAACAGGGCCGGCCAGGTCCCGGCCCCTCGGGGACCTGCGTGGGGAAAGTGGCCCTGGCGTGACCGCATCCTTGGGCAGCTGGCCTTTGTCTACCGTTCTTCAAAGCATTTCCCACCCAATGTTTTGTTTTGGCTTCAAAAACCCCCTCACAAAAATAGCAAAGGATGGGGGGATAAGGACACATATGTACTAGTAATTCCCTAATCAATAAAGGGAAAAAAAAGAATAGCAAAGAAAGCGTGAGCTACTTTTCTTTTGTCCCCATTTTGGGGACAAACCAAGGCCCAGAGCAGGCAAGTAACTGGTTCAAGGTCACACAGCCTGTGAGTAGCAACGCAGGGCTTGGGGAGTCAGATGATGAGGCCTCTTTCAACAGGCCTTCCTGCCTCCTCCAGCTCCATGCCAGGCAAGAAGCTCCCGAGCCAGCCTGAAAGTCCCAAAGCCCATCTTGTGTCCACCCTGCTCCCCATGTCCACGCCAAAGTGCTGCTCTGAGACTAGTGCTCAACTGTGCCGTCTCCGGCCCACTCCCCGCCCCCCAGGCCCCGGGCTCCTGCACCACTCACCTGCCAGCTATTCCCAAAGGCAGCCTCCGTGAGTTGGAGCAGCCCCTGAGGGTCCTGCAGATCATCCTGGGCAAAGCCATTGAAGTTCCCACAGAGCCCACAGATCTGGCCTCGGTAGGAGCCGGGCACTCTCACCTCCACCTGGGACTGCCCATCCCACAGCACCTGTGTGGAGAGGCTGGACTGGAGAGAGGGGAAACACAAGCCCAAGATCCACCCTGGCCGCACACACTGTGTCAGCGCGCCCCCCCGCTGTAGGAGGGAGGCTCTCCATGGGAGAGGCGGCTCTGGCCCAGGCCCGCGGGCACAGGCTGCAGGGCTATGACAACCAGCACAGCTCCCAGGAAGTCACCGCCGTCAGCATCCCTGAACTGGGCCCCCAGGTGAAATGCACCCACTTTCAGAAATACACTATCTCGTGGGTGCTCAGGCCTTACAGAGGACAAGACGCGGTTAGAGTTTGTATCCCAAGTGTAGCCAAGTCCTATTCTAGGAATTTACAAAGTGTGCTTCTGCTGGATGTGGGGGAGTGCACCACTCTTTGGCATGGGAGCTGGAGGGACTCCTGAAACCACCTAGGCCCTGGGAGACATCAGCTGACCCTCCGCGAATCCTTCCCCGATTTTACCAACGAGGAAACCGGCCCACAGAGGACTGGTCCAGGCCCAGGGCCCAGTGTGTCGATGGCTGAGCCAAGATTAGACACCAGGCTCAGAACTTCCATTGCACCGGAGGTCTCCGGACTCTCCCACCTCCGTGTGGCCCGGGAAGTAGTTGGTAACCCCCAGGCCCTCCACGGA